ATCAACCATCAACACTCATGAAAGCAGCAGTCAAGAAATCAAATGACGTACTGCGTCAGGCAAATCTGCTGCACAAGACCTTTTTAAAGTGTTGAAGAGTAAAGATGTCAGCTTGAGGACTAAGGTGAGCCTGACCCAGCCATGGTATTTTCCAAAACCTCATATGCATGTGAAACCTGGACAGTGAATAAGGAAGACTGTAGAAAAATTTATGCTTTTGAGTTATGGAGTTGGAGGAGAATATTGAAAGTGCCATGGGCTGCCAAAAGAACAAACAGATCCATGTTGGAAGAAGTGCAGCCAGGCTGCTCCTTGGAGGCCAGGATGACCAAACTTTGTCTCTCATACTTTGGACATATTGTTAGGAGGGACCAGTTTCTGGAGAAGGATATCATGTTTGGTAAGGTGGCGGGTCAGAGAAAAAGAGGAAGACCCCAGTGAGATGGATTGGCAAAGTGGTAGCATCAATGGGCTCAAGCGTGGCAACAATTGTAAGGTTGGCCCAGGACAGGGCAGTGTTTCTTTCTGTTTTGCATGGGGTTGCTATGAGTCAGTAGCAACTCGATGGCACTTAACAACAAACAACATCAGAGACTGATGGTTGTTGTTGTTATAGTTAAGTGCCACTGAGTCAGTTCCAACTCTTAGCAACACTATGTATAACAAAACATTGCCTGGTTTCATGCCATCCTGACCACCATAATTGAGTCCATTGTTGCAGCCACTATGTGGATTGATCTTGTGGAGGATCTTCCTCTTTTTCACTGACCCTCCATTTTACTAAAGGAGCTCTGGTTGCATCGTGGTTCCAAGTCAGGCTGCTAACCTCCCAGCCAGCAGTTCAAAAGTACCAGCCTTGCTGCGGGAGAAAGATGGAGGTTTTCTGCTCCCGTAAAGATTTACAGCCTCGGAACCCCTAGACAGGGTCGCTTGGAGTCGGAACCGACTCCACGGCATGCTACCACCACCATATTACTAAGCATGATATCCTTCACCATGAACTGGTCTCTACTGATAATATAACCAAACATCTGAAATGAAGTCTTCCTCTCCTCATTTCTGGAGTCCTGGTGTGGTTAATGCGCTGAACTGGAAAGTTGGCGTAAGCCACAAGGTTGGCAGTTTAAGTTCACCAGCTGTTCTTTGGAAATCTGATAGAGGGTCACTATGGGTCAGAACTGACTTGACAGCCTTAGAAACAACAAAAATCCTCATTTCTAAGAAGCATCCCAACTATACTTTTACTGAGATTTGTTTGTCTGGTAAATCCATTGCCATGGAGTCAAATATGACTCATGTTATTGTTTTTAGGTGCCATCAA